TGTTACAATGCGTGTAATCACCTTTTCCTGCAGGGCCCCAGGGTTACCTGTGTGAGTGCTTAGGGTATGATGTCTCTGTGTATCCCGCATGCCTGATACATAGTAGACACTCAATAAAAGCCGGCTGGATTTAATTACGGGGGTTCCCCGAAGGCAGTGTTGGAGTATCACTTGCTAGTGTTCTGGTGAAGAGGGGAGGCCTGCCTCCCTGCGCCACAGCCCTGCCAGAGCCCCTCCGCAGCCTTAGTGGCCTGGGTAGTCCTGGGGGCTGCAGCGGCCCCCCCCTTTCCATCCAGCCAGTGCCTTCCTTGCCGCGGGAGCCAGCTCCCCGGGTTGCCCGTGTGATCACTCTCCAGAAAACACCCCAGTGGAAACTGCATGAATGATTGATAAGAGCTGAGAGCTGTTTAATTTTTTCCCCCTGTTTAATGGCTATCAATAATTTAATACGCTCTCTGTATGTTTTTAAGAAATAGCACCCATTTTGCCGTCTCCGGTTTAGCGGGCTAAATGATTTAAGTGTTGGAAATGTGCTTGAGGATGGAAGTTGAGTGAGTCAGAGGAATCTGGAGGCCGGGTGGGGGAGGCGGGTGCAGAGCCAGCCAGTATCTTGGCCTGGATGGGCGTGTGTGTGTGTGTGTGTGTGTGTGTGTGTGTGTGTGAGTGAAGGTGGGCGGGAGGGAGGTGGGAGGGGGCGGGTAAAAGCCAGTGCCTTTCTGCTAAGAGCAAGATAATTGCTTTTCCGGGTCTCACTGAGCAGCAGCTGAACAGCTGTCAGCTCACTCCCCCCACCCCCAATGCTGAGCTTTTCTGGATGATTCTGGGGGGCCAGGGTGAGGGCTAAGAAGGAGCTGCTGCTGGTACCACCATGGGCTGAGAACCCTCCTCCCCCTGACATCTTTGCCCTGTCTAAAGCGTTCAAATCATTTTTAATGATGCAGTTCGTTTGCTGCCTGTGTGTCTTCCAGATGGGGTGGGGGTAGTGTGGAGTGGGGTCTCAGAATCACTAATCTTGGGCCCCAGAGGGGCTCGGAAGGTCATCTGCCAGTGCCCCCCCAAACTTTCCAGATGCAAAGGATCACCTGGGAGGACTTATTAAAAATTTAAATTTCTGGGCTGTATTCCAGACCCACAGACTTCCATTCTCAGGGGAGAGGCCTGGGAAGCTGTAGGTTTAACAGGCAGCCCAGGTGATTCTTATCATCAGAGGAGTTGGGGAAATACAGAGGCCAGCTCCAGTTCTGGTGCCTGTAGCACCCACAGCGCCACATGGCTGATCCCCTTGGCTTGCATGCCTCTGGGGATGGGGAGCTCATTACCTGAGACAGCATACCCACCTGTGGAAGGCTGGACCCAGCCAGCTGCCCTCCTGTGCATGGAGTTACCTCCTCTACAGGGGAGACGGCCTCTCCTGGGTTATCTGTGCCTCCTTGTTGGGCAAGGAGCTTTCTTTGTTAGCAAAGGCTTGGAGTACCAGGGAAAATGCCCCAGGGTGAGCCCAGGCCTGGGGGTGGGAGGCACTCCCCTTCCTCTCCAGGCTGGCTGCGCTGGCCTCCCCTAGCGGACGGCAGTGGGCACACGAGCTTCCTGCTGGCAGGCAGCACAGCGGTAGTGAGGACCCCGAGGGAGGCAGAAAGGCTGCTGGGCCTCAGAGCTGTCTTGGACCATGGGGCAGTCCTCCCACAGGATAGAGCCGTGTCTCATCTGAGACTGTTGATGAGGCAGCATCTCTCAGATGGAGTGGGAGAACTGAGGCCACAGGGGGTTCCCCCAAGGTCACACATCCATCGAGGACAGAGCTGGAACTGAGCAGGTGGGACAGGGGCCCTGAGAGGGGCATCCAGGACCGAGGCCCTGGTGCTGGGGGTCAGTTGAGATCCCACCCCAGTCGTACGAGAGCTGCCGGGGTGGGGTGGGGGGAGGCCTCTCACCTTCTGGATGGGCACTGGTGGAGACGGAAGGGCTTCAGACAGCGATGCCCATCTGCCTGCCTGGCATCTCAGCTCTCCTTTGCTTGGCCTGGCCGCTGGCTTTGTGTCGGCAGCGCTGACTGCACGTCAGGCTTGCTGTTTGATTTGAGTAGACAATGACGGGGAAAGGAGTGGTACGCATCTCACAGGTGTCGTTGTCCACTGTACAGCAGAGGCCCCCGAAGTCCGCCCCCACTCTGGAGGTCCTCTTTGGAACCCCAAATTCATTCCAGCCCCCGATCTATTTGGGAGAAGCCCAGGTCCAGGAAAGTGCTGGCCTACAAATGAGACTTGTAATGGCCAGACCCCTCCCCCTCACAGCCCCCCAAGTCTGCTCTGATCATCACAGCATCACTGGAGGGGGTTTCAACCCCAGGGAAGAGGAAGTGGGGTGCCTATCCCTGACAGGACCCCTGTTTGGAGAACGGCAAGAGCTGGGGAGACAGAAGGGAAAGACTTAACTCCATGCTCAGGAAGACTCAGGCCAGGAAGAGAGAGAGCCGTGTGAGTATGGACACCTGGGCAAGGCCTGAGGAGCTCAGGGAAGGCTTCCAGGAGGAGGTGCCACCTGCCCTCAGGCTTGAAGCACATGGGAAGGGGAAGGGCACCCCAGTTCAGAGGTGTGAGGCAGCGCTGTGAGTGTGCAGAGAGGAGAGGTGGCAGGCAGGCCAGGGCGGGCTGGATCTGGTACACTGGGCGGGCAGAGAGCCCCAGAGGTTGGTTGGTTTTTAGCTTCTATTGAAGTATTCCATCCGTTCAGAAAAGTGTGCATGTCCTAAAGGTAGCTTGACAAATTGTCATGAAATGAGCACACTCGTGTCTGCCACACTTCGAGAAATAGCATTCCAGACCCCCGCGGCCCCCTCACGTGCTCCCCTCCAGTCACTGCTGCTGTCCGTTATCTGCTGCTGCCCACACCACCCAGAACTCGGTGAAATGGAGAACTGCCACTGACCAGGTCTCAGGAGCTGTGGTTTGCCTGGGCGTCCTCTGCTGCTTTCCCTTGCGCTCGTGTCACCCCCGTCACCTGAAGGGCTGGCTGGACCGGAAGGTGGAAGGAGGCCTTAGTCACGTCTGGCAGTTGGTGCCGGCTGTTGGCTGGGCGGCCTCAGTTCTCCTCGGCCCCCCAGTAAGGCGGACTGGACTGGCTTCCTGCCAGGGCCAGGCCGGGTTCCCAGAGGGTCGAGGCCAGAAACAGCAGGATCTCATGAGGCCTAGTCTCCCTGAGCCACAAAATGCCACTTTCATCAAATCCTACTGGTCAAAACATGGTGGGAGGCCAGCCCCGATTCACGGTGACAAACAGACTCCACCTCCGGATAAGAGGCGCCACAAAGGGTCCGGGGCCGCACTGGGTCCACCTCACGCACAGGGGAGTCCTTGTGCCTGTCTGTGGCCTTTTTCTAAATGGACCCCTTAAACATGTTCTCCACTGTGCCTGGGTTTTCCGGTCAACATTGGGTTCATAAGATTGATGTCTATTGTTGGATCGAGTTGCAGGTCGTTCATTGCTGTGTGGTGTTCCGTCCCCTGCATCGTCAGTGTATCTGTTCCATAGCTGACGGTTATTTGGGAAGTTCTCATTTTGGGGCCATTATGAAGACTCTGCTGGGAACATACCAGCACACGTGTTTTGGTGACCACATGCCCATGTTTCTGTGGAAGTGGGAATGCTGCGCCACTGATAGACCACAGGCTAGGAGATAGGCTCAAACTGTTATCCGCGGTGGTGAGCTGTGTGTGCCCCACCAGCAGCATTTGGAAGGTCTGCGAGGGCCTTGTGGAGGGGAGTGAGGAGGTTGGGGGAGGGGTTAGAAAAGCCCCCAAGCTGAGGATGGGTGGAGGGATATCTCTGACCCTGGTGCTCCCTGTCAGGTCTGCTCTCGGCCCTCCCCTAGCCTCGGGCCTCCATGCTGGGGGCAGTAGGGCCCTCAGACCAGATGGCACTTTTCTGAGTGTGGCCTCACCTATTGTACTTTTTCCCACCCCAGGGTGCTCCTAGGCCCTCTCTCTTTTACTCAGAAGCTGCCTTCCATGGCTGGCCTGATCTGCCCACAGTCAGCGAAGCTAGGTGCCTGCGGGAGCTGATGCGTGAGGACCAGGAGTGGGGGAATTCCCATAGCGGCCTCCGTCCGTCACAGATGTGGGCAGTGGGCAAAGCCAGGAGACGGGTTCTGCTTCCAACCTTGCACTCCCCTGCTCCGGGATCCTGGGAGGGGATCCCCTAGCAGGGCCTCAGTTTCCCCATTTGTAAAATGATAGACAAGGCTACCAACCTCACCAAGTCTTCCTCTCACCCACCTGAGCCCTGTATTCCAGAATCTAAGAAGGAATGGTGTCAGGCCCTTGGGAAGCTCAGCAGGCTTCCTGATTTCAGGGCACATGTCAGATGCCTGGTTTTGTTCAGCTTGTTCACTGAATACCTTCGCTGCACCATTTATCAGTCACTCACTCATTCATTCATTCATTCATTCATCCGTAACATCAAGCAGTTTACACGGCCTTGCCTGCTTCAGGGGACAGAGAGAAGAGCCAGACTTTATTCCTGATGTCCAGCGCTCTGCCCAGGGAGGAGACCGGCCTGTAGAAAGCTGGAGGGGACATGGCCAGTGAGACCCAAGGCCACTGGGGGATGCACAAGGAAAAGGGGGTTCCACGAAGGCAGCTGAGTCTCAAAGGCCAGGGGCTTTGAAAGACAGGAATGTGGGGCACGGGCTCCAGGCAGAGAACCCAGCACATTCCAGCTAGCTTTGCTGCTGCTTGGGGTATAGGGTACGTAGGGCTTGACCTCACTGCTGGGCTGGTTCTGAGCTTCTAACGCAAAGTTCAGGAGATGGGCCTTCATTGGGGTGTTGGGGAGCAGCATGCAGTTTCTAGGGTGGCTGCACTTCTGTGGCCAGCTCAGCCTTCCAGGAGATGTCAGAGAGGTCTGGGCAGGCGAGACCTAGAGGTCGCTGAAGTGGGGAGAGGGCGTGTGAGCCGCCCCATGGTAAGACTTGGAGCTCACTGTGCCCTCTTCTGCCTCCGCAGGATTCAGCTGTGCTCGGCCAGGTTGGACTGCTGGACCCCTGCCTCCTTACCCACACCTCCTTTTCCTGACACTCTCAGCAGCCTCAAGTGCCGATCTTGAGAAGAGGCCTTAGCAGGTAAGCAGCATGGGCTGGCCCTTCATACTGTGTCTGCTAGTGGGGCCCTACTGAGTGGCTGGTGCTATTTCAGGCCTGGAAATCCAAGAGCGAGGCTGTCACCACTGAGGAAATAGGGAAGGGGCTTATTTCTGAGTATGGGAGTATGGAATCCAGGAAGGCTTCTTGGAGGAGGTGGAGCAGGTTGTGGTCCAGAATGTCTCTGAGAAGGCTGAGATTTTCATGAGGAAGAAGGTGATTTGGGTGGCCTAGTTAGACATGGGCCATCTGTGGCCTCAGCTTCCTCATCTGGAACCAGGAGCAGTCACTGTCTTCCCCCACCTCCTGGACAGGGTGTGGGTGAGGATTAGGGACCACCAGTGCCCAGTGCTGAGGCAGTTCCTGGACTCCAGGGCTCCAGCAGGTTGGAACTGTTACTTTTATGAGAAGGAAGCGGGTGGGGGATTTGTGTGTGTTGCCGGGGGATGTTCATGGGTCCCTGCTCCTCATCCCCTGGGGACTCCATCCTAGCTCCCTGGAGCCTGGGTGCCCTCTGAGTCTGGGGCACAGCCAGCTGGCGGGTCTGTGTCATCCATCTGCACGTGCCCTGTGGTTCCTGAGGAGTTGGGGTCTGTGGCACCCATTTCATTATCTCAACTGCCCTAGAGTCCCTGTGGGGAGCCTGGCACATTACCTGCATGAGCTCCCTAAATCTCCCCAAGAATCCTGAGAGGGAGGCCTCACCAGTTTCCAGATGAGGAAACTGAGGCACGGGGCAGGTTGGTGAGGTCCTCAGGGCCACCTGCTCACTCGTGTGGGAGCTGAGCTCCTGTCCCGGTCACTGGGGGCCAGGATTTGTGCTCTTTTCTCCACGGTGCTCCCTTCAGGGGTAGGTCATTTCATGATGAGGAAACAGATGAGGAAACTGAGGCTCTTAGTGGTTGGGCCTCAAAGCCAGGGAGTGGCAGCTGCACCCCAGATTCAAGACTTCCTTTTCCCTTCCTTCTCTTGTCCCAGTAGGGCCTTCCAAGTTATCTGGCTTTTAGCCTGACCCAGAATGCCACAGGCAAAAGTGTCAATTTTTTTGCAAAAAAATGATGGGTTGTTCTCTGGGATCCACTATCTGGGCAAAATCTAGTAACTTCCTCTTTGAAACCCCTTTGCAAATGTCCTTAGTGTGGTCCTCGGAAACCTGGCCAGCAGGAACCTCTAGGGTGCCCAGTGCAAATTAGGTAGCTGGTTCTGATTCTAGGGGCTTCTGGTGGCCACTGGTGAGGGGAGGGGCAAGGGCCAGTGAATGAGCTTTCACTTCTCTGGGACTTCACAAGAGTCAGGCTGTCCACGTGGTCTTCCTTTTCATTCCATTCCAACCCAGCAAATGTCTCCTCACCTCCCAGTGCCCCTTACCTGCCACCTCCTGGAGCTCCTTCCCAGAGGGGCTGCAGGTCCACCCTCACTGAAGCCCCAGTGCGCGTGGAAGACTGGCTTTTCCCCGGGCGAGGAGCTCCGCCCCTGGCCCAGGAGGGGCCCCTGAGGTGCCTGGGTGCTGCAGAGGGCGCGGTGGAGCCAGAGGCCTGGCCAGCTGGAGTAGACAAGCCCCAGCCGGCGGACTGCAGCCAGGTGTGTGTGGCTCCGAGTCCCACCCAGGCAGGGGAGAGAGGGCCCCAGCCGGTCTGAGCCGTAACAACCGCAGAGGCTGGACATAGTGAAAGGGTATCTCGTGGAGGGCATGACAACTGTCCCATATGGCTGGCATATAAAAGACGCTCAAAACCCCTTTGGTGGGTGAAGGTAGAGGGCACTGACGTGACTCGGGGGTCCACTCTGGGCCTAGGGTTGGGGTTTCCAGCTCTGCCACTCCTCTCTGCGTGACTCCGGAATAGTGGCTTCACCTCTCTGTGCCTCATTTCCTCATCTGGAAAGGAGGGACAGAACCTACCTCACTGAGCGAGGAGGAATTCAGTGAAGGAAGCCCATAAATCCTCAGCCTGGGCCGTGGTTAGTGCTGCACGCAAATGGGCCGATGGTGAGCCCGCGGACGGAGGTGAGTGAGAGCTGGCCCCGAGGGCTGTGCCACACAGGGCAGTGACGTGGTTGGATTGTCATTTTAAAAAGAATGGAGGGGACAGCCGGGATTGGGGTTAGGCCAGATTTGGGTTTCATCTGAGGCAATCCCAAACAGCTGTTGATTAGAGCTCTGTGGGTGGGACCTAAGGTGGCCTCCAGCCCCTGGTTTGTGGCTTCAAGCTGCCAGCATGTGCCATCAGCAGTCAGTCAGCAGACTTCCAGGGTTACAGGGGTGCAGGGCAGGTTCGGGCTGGCTGCAAAGACCTTGAATGTCAAACCCAGCTCACAGCAGGCCTGGCTATGCAGAGCTGAGTTCCCAGGGTCCCCATGTGGCATGCCTGTCAGTCTTTGGCACCAGCTGAGAATGCATCCCCCCCCCCCCGCCACCCCCGCCTGGAATCTGTTGCCTAAAGTCCAGGCCCCTCCACCCACAGCCTTTGCAGCCTGCCCTGACCCTGAAACCCCTGCCCCAGCCTGGTGCTGAATATAGTCTACAGCCCACTGGTCATTCCTGCCTGAGGTAGAACACTCCCTGGGTGAGCAGGATGGGGCTGCTGTCCTGGCAGACCGTCTGAGCATGTCTTTCAAGCCTCAGTCTTGCTGCAGGCCTGTCTTGTGATCTTGGACAAGTCACTGCCTCTCTCTGAGCAGTTGTTCATTGAACTGTAAAACCAGAGGCCCGGGACAGGGTAGGGGTCACCAACTACAGTGATCTCAACAGCTCAGTGAAGCTTGGGAGCCTCCCACCATGCAGATGAGGAAGCTCAAAGCACAGAGAGGTTAAGAAACGTATACAGGGTCACAGAGCTATTGGTGCAGCTGGGATTCAGCCCAACTTCACCTGACACCATTATACAGTTTTCCCCCCACTACATCAAACTGGCACCTACCCAAGTTTGCTGGGCGATCCATTCACTTCATTAGCCAGAGCAGCGGTTCTCAACCTGTGGGTCGCGAACAATGAAAATACATCGTGCATATCAGATATTTACATTACAGTTCGTAATAGTAGCAAAATTACAGTTATGAAGTAGCAACGAAAATAATTTTATGGTTGGGGGGTCACCACAACATGAGGAACTGTATTAAAGGGTCGCAGCATTAGGAAGGTTGAGAACCACTGAGCCAGAGTGTGTTATGCTAGACACTGGCATCCAAAAGTAAACCTGCATTTGAGGAACTGGGGGAACACAGCCCCAGGCTCAGGCAAAGGTCAGAGTCTCCAGGGTAGAGCCTGTTAGGTGGATGCCATCAGTGGATGAAGGCAGTAGGAGCTGAGAGGATCAGCTCTTCCCTGATGCTGGAGGAGGCAAGCAGGGGAGACTGCCTGGAGGAGGGGGCTGGATCCCTGCACAGTAGAGTGGAGGTGAAGGGTCTTCCTGAGGTCTCTGCACAAAAGGAGGCTATAGAGCAGCGGCAGCTCCTCTGTGAAGGCTGAGAGGAGAGAGCTGGACTCTGCCCAAGAGCTGGGGCTCATAGCTCACCCAGAGACTGTGGAGGAGCAGGGCTGGGGGCTTGTCTACTCTAGCTGGCCGAGCCCTTTCCAGCACCCTGCTCTCTGGGGTCTCTCCGGGACCAGAGGCTGGAGCTTTTTATCAGAGGAAAAGCCAGTCTTCTAAAATGCTGAAATATGAAGCTGCCCAGGGTAGAGCCCAGGTGCCACCCTCTATTGCCACTGTCTGTGCCCCTGTCTGATATCGGCCTCACCTCAGACTAGGGCTGGGGTTGGAAGGGAGACATGGATGAATCTGTTCAGTGACGTAATGGGGACAGAGAGGCCCAGAAACCAGCTCAGGGTCATACAGCATCATCACGGCAGGTGCAGGAGGCGAGCAGGCCAAGCAGGAGGCATCCTTCCCAGGGCTGAGACTCCCTCCCCTGGCTCCCACAGAATCCAAGGGGCTCCTTGTGGATTGTATGTGTTCACCTGTGTAGGTGTGCGTGGCTGCATGTGCACTCGAGGGACCCCTTACCTTGGCCGCCCGAGGGGCTTTACAAGGACAAGTCGGATTGGGAGGGTTGGCAAACTACACCTTGAAGGGTTCCTTTGGTGTTACTCACGGCGGCCGATGCTTCCCTCCCACTGGTGTTTGCTCACCAGACTCAACTGAGCTCTGGAGTTTGAGGACAGCCACGCCCCTGCCCTGGGTCCCAGGTCCAAAGCCTCTGTGACCTTGCAGGGAGGGAGCAGACACTGGGTGGGGCTGCAAGGGCGGCATCTTTATTTGAATCATCACATCCTGGCCGCCTTCGGGAGTCTCTAGAAATTATCTGGCCCAACCCCTCTGAGCCTCAGATGGGGAAACTGAGGTTCAGAGATAGGAGGGTGCACCCCAGTGCCTCCCAGCGTGGCGCTCCCAGGCTTTCAGCTGACCTCACTGCTCCAATGCAGGGGATGCATGGCCGCTATAGCCGAAGTGACCTAGCCTTCGGGCACCCGTTTGCAGAAAGGCAGGACTGACCCCAAAGGGACAGGGACCTGGGAGAGCAGGCCTGAGAGCGAAGCAAGGCCCTCAGGCCTGGCTCTGTTTGTCCTGGTTTGTATTCCACCTCCTGTAATCACCACCTCCTGCTGAGCCTGCCACCATTAGGGCTTCTCCTCCCATCTGTTTACCCTGGGAGCCGAAGAGGCCTGGAGGTTGCCGGCCTGAGGCCACAGCAGAGAGAATGCTCTGAAGTCAGGACCCATTTGAAAGCTGACAAGATGCAAGGGGGTGAGGAAGAAAAGTGGACTTGGGGAAGAGGGCCATCCGCATTCCTGGTCAGTCCCTTCACCATGCCCAGCAGCTGCCCCGCGGCCTGAGCCTGGGAGGCTGCTGATCTTTGGTAGCAGGGACTAGTGTCCAGGTGCTTTGAGTGACTAGAGGGCAGGGAGGGCTTTCTGGAGTAGGTGGGCCTTCAGCTGGGCCCTGAAGAATGAATGTGACTGTAAACTGAAAACATTCCACGCAAAG